TATCCCTTAAACGTACAGGGATTTTTGGTCCAAATTTGTGTAGATCTTCCGAGTAAATTCAATCCCTCTTTAAATTAAAATACTATATACTAACAAACCCCGAATATTTTTACATTTTCAATTAACATATATTCTGAAAAATTTATTTTAAAAAAAATCGTACATATTGGAATCATTATTTAAGGTTTTTTATAAGAAACATTTGTATTTTTTTAAAATTTTTTTTTGAAAAGTTCACTATATGGAAAATTTTAATTATTGATACTAGACTTATGGTTTTTAGACATAAATCATGCAATTTGATCTGCCTAATAAGTTCTATTAGTAGTGTTTACATACTAGCTAATAATTTTAGTGAAGGAGATATAAGGTTTATAATAACTGTATCGCAAATTTTTACTATCAAAAAATATGTAACCCCCAAATAAATTTTTTTAATAAAAGTATGGGGTTTTGAATATCATTTATGAAATAAGAAAAATTGTGCAGGAAAATATCTTTTTTTATAATTTTTGAGTCACAATTGGAATTTTGGTCCAGATTTGGTCCAAAATTCGTTTAAGGGATAAATGTTAAGATTTTAAGTTGAATGTTGTAGTGAGTGAGTGGAGTGATGATGATGATGATGATGATAAAAATAAAACGCATGAATTTATTTGTAAATTATAAATAGTTTAGTTGCAGCAAGTAGAAGTGTATTAGGAAAAAAGACTGATTCATTCCATAATGATAATGAAATTTTACTATTATTGTTTAGCATTAACCTTTTATATATTCTTATAATGCTTGCCTTTAATTGAGTGTGAAGGAGCTCGACATATATTTGTTCTCCAGCAAATATGCTCCCATCAACATTCAACATTGCATGCGACAGGGTCAACTCTTGTATTTTGTGGATGGTCAAGGCGAAAGCATTTTGAAGGGAGAACTGCTTTCTTGATGCTCTCTTATCATTTGTGAAGTTGATCGATCACATTATATTCATTAAAAAATGATGAGACTAAACCCTTGGCAAATGACCAAACCCTTGTATAATGTTTTTTTATGTTATCAACCAACAATTATTTAGATTTTTGTTTTTTTTTACAACTTCATTATCAACATCTCTTCTATGTAAATTGTGTTGTTTTAATATAAGCTTTGGTTTTTCTTTCTTTTTTGATGTATTGCTTAAATTACAATTATCATTGTTTATGTGTTAACATCTTCCCGTCTTCACTTTCTAAATAATGACTGACTCTGTTTTCTTGTCATTATTTTCAATCTGTAAACTTCTGCTTACATTTTCCTGATGCAAGTTTTTTAAAATAAAGATTGTCACTTCCAAATTCAATACTATTATTCTCAATATTTAATATATTATTGTTTTTGATTTCTAAGTCATTATAATTTGAACCATTATTTTGAGTTTCAATTAATTCAATATTAGAAAATTCAGTTTCATTACTAGTCTTATTATTTTTCATCAGCAAATACTGCATCTCATCAACAAAAAAAAAACAAAAAATTCAATTTCATCAACAATTTTTACTTTCATCAAAATCATCAAAGTGGCCCTTGGTGAGAAACTACCTTTTAGTCAGTACTTTTTTCATGTCAATGACTAAAGTCAACCCACATTCAGGATAATGTATGGGACGAAACTTTGGGCTTGTTTTATATAGGGCCACTCACTACACTGCTGGTGGAGGAGACAGTCTTGTAGATAAAAAAACAGAAGACTTGTTTTTTTTTTTTTTAATTCAGATTCTTTTTAATCAACATTCTTCCTTTTATTTTTTATTTTTATTTTTATTATTTTGAATTTTAGAAGCCACCCTTTAAACTTAAAGCTTAATTCTATTTTAAAAAATTTATTATCAAAATGTTGAATTACTTAAACATAAATTTTATTTATACAATTATCAAAGGGATGGAAGGGACCAATTCATAATCAGCTTAAGTTTTTTTCTTACTGGTCCAACATCTTTTCTTTATTTATTATAAATAGAACTTCTATCCATTTGAAAATATTTAACTTGATGTTGACATTAAAGATGTTAACCGAAATTATTTCACTTAGTATTAGTAAGTGATCGTCACCGAATTCAAAATGCTGAAATATTTTTTCATAGTTGCCAAAATTAACTTTATTAATTGCCGAAATTATACTCTAAATTATTTGAACACTTTAACTCAATAGCCAAAATTCTGGGTAGTTTTTTTATGTCCATCATTATGAAAATATTGTAAATCTGAAATTGCCTGCCGAAATTGATTTTTTCAAAAACCATTTTGGCTAACATCTTTAGTTGACATTGACGTTAACTTTAACTACAATATGCAATCATTTTTGTCAACACTTAAAAATTTTCCTTTTTTTCGAAAAATTCCTTTTTCAAACAAGTTCTATATTAAAATCTTTTTAAATAAATATATAGAAAAAAAATTTACAATCTAATAAATAAAAAAAAGCAAGCATTTCATATGCTGCTAATTATTTAAAACATGAAGATGAAAAGAAGAAAAGCTCTTGTGTGATTAATAAGAAAAAGCAATAACCGAGTTTACGGAGCTATTTGGAATCCAAATCCAAGAGATTGAAATCAAAACCAGTATGGTTACAATTAGCTGATATCAACAACTCATTATTACTATTATTAGTTAATACAGTGAACAATAAAAAATGCATAAATATTTTTTTAACAATTTTTTTATTTGTTTAAGAAGGTTGATAAATTAATTACAATGGAATATACAAGGAATAAACAGTAAATTTTTCGATTATTAATTTTATTCTTGAGTTCTCACACCTCTTGCCAACAATATTGCACGTTAATGATCTTTGATAACAGTTTTGTGTAATTGTACATACCCTTGGTGAATTTGAAAGATGTTGTTTTTTAAAAAAGAATTTTCACATCTACTCTCTCTCTCTCTCTTATTACAAAATTATTTAAAACAAACTTGATTAAATGTCAATTTTAATTTATTTAAGACAAACATCCCCTAATTTACATAATAGCTCTTATTTAAATATTCGAGAAGCCATAATGTAATTATAGTTAAATTTATTTATTACAAGTAGGGATGCAGAAACTAGTAAAGAAGCATTAGTGGTTATACATTTATTTAAAGATCTGTGAGTGTAATAATGATAATATTTATAATTATGATAATGATTTAATACAATGATTTTAACACAATGAAATAAGGTTCAAATATTAATATTTTATTTTAAGATTGTAGAATGTAAATTATTAAATAAATATTTAAATGATTAAGCAATAAAATATAAATCAACCATGTTTGTAAAAATAATCAGAGATCAATGCATACCAAATTATCCTGATTAATTTATCATAATGGAGATTTAGCACAACAATTGGTTAGTTTATCAAAATTAGATGGGTATTAATATGAAATTAGAAGAATTAGAAGGTATGCATGCACTAATAATAATAATATCATTTGTCATATTATCTAATTGGTTCAATTAATTTATTATTGCTTGGTTGATTTTTAGATCTTGAAACATATCTTTTGTCAATGGATGCAATTGAAGAGGTGTTAAAACGAAAATTTCTTGTAGTTAAATCTAGATATGCTCATTGGGAAAAGATTACACAAAAAGTGCACTTTGCTTGTATTAATATAGTCCTTGCCAAAAGTTTTTATTTTTATAGTCTAATGAAATGTCTAAAACAGATGATCAATGATTTAAGGGTATATTTAAATATTAAAAATGGCTATTGAACTAGCAAAACAAGCCTAAAGGGGAAAACACTAAATCTTTACACTAGTCAAATTGGGTGTATCATATTCTGAACCAATTGATATTTATTTAACTAATAGTTGGTTTGCTGATTGGTGTCAATTGATGGTGGAATTAGTTTCAATTGGTCTTCTGATTTGTATTAATAGCCCTTTTTGGTAATAAATGAAATTTTTTTATCAATCAGATATCCAATTACTTTTTGAGTTCAATCAATGCATATAAATGCTAAAGCTCAGTTCAAACTGGAGAATTTTGGTCCAGTTTCGGATTCTAAAAAGTCAAAAAATTTCTGTTGTTCGGTTTGAACCTAAAAACTACTTGGCAGTCCCTGGTGCAGTCTAGTTAGAGATGTTCCATGCGCATGAAAAAAAATGCAATGTGCATTGCATCATGCGCATCATGCACATCATCATTATTATCATCATCATCATCATCAACTATAACTACAATTTCAACTAATTTGCAAAATCATTCAATAAGTAATTTCGTTGATAGAATTTCTAGAACTGAAGTGATTTTTCTTAAAAAAAAGTCATTTCATATGAAACAATCTTTTTATTACAAAAATATCTATTAAATATATTTTTAACCAAAGTCCAAATTTGTTGGATTGTAAATCTATCTCCTTTAGTTTCTCTGAAGTAAGATTTGGATCATAATAATAAATCATTACTCATTTCATGAAACAAATTTTTTATTACTAAAACATTTATTAAATATATAATTATTTATTTTTTAGGATATGTTTTAATATATCTTTGGTTGCCTCCTCACCAAAGTTCAAATTTATTGGATTAGGAGTAATTATATGCTGATGAGCATGAACTTCTTTTAATTTCTTTGAAGTAAGCATACATTCTAAAGGTTTAGGTCCTGAGAGTTTCAGCCTAGCTTCTTGCAAATCAATATTCATATTGGCATGTATCTTTAGATCATATTTATTAAACATCCCCTCTACATGCTGCTGATGAACTACTATTGACCAAATTTGATTTTTAATGAATTCATATAGCAAGAGAAAATCAAATAATTTGGGATCATTGGCCACAGAGAAGACAATAAATTCATTATGAAAGTCATCTTCTTGTAATGCTTCAAAGAGACCAAAAGATTCTTTTCTTTGATTATTAAAATCATCTACCAGCTGGATAATGCATTTACTTACAAGGTTATTAGAGAAATTTGGCAGAGGAAAGTCTAATATTACACAGATAACTGCCCATGCAAATGTTTGACCATTGTTACCTCCTAAATTACAGACTGAAAGTGGCAAGTGAGTCCATATATCCATCCACTTTTTAAATATATCCAAGGCCTTTGTTAATCCTGCTTTAATCTTATCCATTAAATCAATATAATCATTTTTTTCTAGGCATCTATTTGCAGCTTGAAATTCTTCAAAAAAAAAAACAATTTCTGGTCTTTCTGCAGCTTCATTCAATTCCTTGGTCCATTTTTCCACCATTTCTGGTAGCTCATGAGCTCGATAATCATTAGGGAGTGTTTTAATGGTGCCATTATGTTGTATCCTAGGACAAGGATCTGCTGTAGTGAGAAAATTGAATAATCGTTCATAGAACCATTTGCCAAATTGAACCATAATTCTAATTAAAATATTCAAATTTTCATCCTGTAACCAACTGAGGAAAGTAGTCCACTTGTGATAATATCTCTGGCACATTTTTTGAGGACATCAACTGATCTTGCAAACATGAGGTGAATATCCTTTCTGTCAAGATACTGTTTGGCTGTTTCTAATTGATATAGCCATCTGGTTGAAATAGGTTTTTGGTAATTTTTCAATTGATATTGAAGAAAGGTCCAATACAACCTTTTAATTGTTTCTGTTTTCATGTTTAGTGGATTATCTTTATCTGGATCATTGTAGCCATTGTGAAGGTAGTAGGCAAGATTCAGTAGATTAAAAGGATGTGGATGTAAGGACAAACCAGAGGGATTAGAATTACTGCCAAATGTAATTTTCTCAAAAGCATTTACAACAATATGAATTGCATGGAGACCACAAGGAATCCTAACTGTCTTTGAACCTGTTTTTTTTTTTTTGAACTCAACTACAGCACCACCCTTTTCCCCAGGCATATATCCAGTATTGTCAGTAAGCCAGTACAGACATTTATTTATGCATAAATTATAAGATTGACATGATTCTATTATAGTATTACAGACAACAATAGCACTACAACGTTCTATATCTACCATTCGGATTATAGAGAGTAAGGGTTCATTAGTGTGATGGCTCCAATATGACAAGCATACTAGGAAGATTTTTTTCTCTCCTCTTGTGCTTTCATCTGCAATAATGCCATAAGAAAAGAATTGACAATCTTTATTAGGAAGATTGTCATGAATCACAACTTGAGCTACCTCTTTATTCCACCTTGCCAATGTTCTATGTGATTGACCAGTTAGGAAGGCAAAGATCTCCTTTGTACATTGAACAGTTGAGGATAAAGACATCTGACCAATATTACTCATTTGAGTAGCTAGGGAAACAAATTCAGGTGTGTGAGCATTTTTGTTTGCTTTGAATTTTTTTGCTACAGCATTTTGAAAGACTTTATTTGATATTGACTTTTTTTTACTAACAAGAGAATGGGTCTGGGAAATATATGTTTTTCTTCTTTATTCTTGCCTAGCAACCTTAATTGCAAGTAATTTTTTATATGCATTAAGATTTTCAAATTTTTTTTTTTAATTTTTTAATTTCCTTTTCTAATTCTTTCATCTTCTGATTTATCTCAGATTCATTATTCTGATGTTTACCTTTAGTTATTAGGACCCATTCCATGGCTTTTTTTTGCAAATAAGGGGTCAAAATCTCACCTTGATGTGTACCATCTGGATATCTCATGTTTTCAAACAATTGGGAGCAAGCAATTAATTCTTTTTCATCTAAATTATTTATTTTATTGATTAATTTAATTCTAATTTGCTTTGTCTTAGTATTAAGTTCTGCCATATTATTGTGGTCTATAACATTAACAGATGGGTGATCTAAAATATCTTGTGGGTAAACACTTGATGCATTTTGGAAAATTGAATCAAAGACATCTTGGGATGGAGAAATATCTTTGGATAAGGAATCATTGGTTACTATAAATGAATTGTCAAGATCTATAGGTAAACTATTTTCTTTTTCAATTGGAGCATAAATTTTCTCTTTTTTGATTAGATGAGTCTGTTGAATTACTCATATTTTTCTGTGAAATTTTGGCATTTTATTTGAACAAAATTTGAAAGTTTATACAAAATAAAATTTGTAATATTAATTTAATAACATTTTAACATTTCCTTAAAAAGGGAGGATCGTCAAAGCAAATCTTAATAGTAAAATCGATAACTTTGAACCTTTACAAAAAAATTTTTATTAATAAAAATGAAAAAAACTCTCTGATTGGTCATTAATTGAGTGTTTTAAAATAAAATCGCGGAAAGATTATTCCCACAGCTAGTTTGGTTATTGAGCCTTTAGATTTTGAAATTTATCTAAATTTCCATTGTTAATAGTAAAATGACAACTTTGAACCCTTTACAAAAAATTTTTTTATTAATAAAAATTAAAAAAAACTCTCTGATCGGTTATTAATTGAGTGTCTGGAAATACAATCGCGGAATGGTTATTCCCACAGCTTGTTTGGTTATTGAGCCTTTAAATTTTAAAGTTTATCTAAATTTCATTTTATAGCGAAATCAACAAAATTGATAACTTTGAACCTTTACAAAAAAATTCTTTACTAATATAAATGAAAAAACTCTCTGATAGACTATTTATTGAGTGTTTGGAAATACAATTGAGGAAAGTTTATTCCCACAGCCTGCTTGGTTATTGAGCCTTTACGTTTTAAAGTTTATCTAAATCTTCAATGATATTGCTATATATAATGTTTTGATGATATATATGTGTAACATTAAAAAATCCGCATATAATAAATTTCAACCATTGTGACCAACTCCAGTCCATTATGCTACTATATATATACAGTATATTAATTCAATGAATTCGATTGCGTAATGGGATCTACGTCACACATGCAAATTAAGTGAATGTTTTTACATCCTACTGAAAAAACCGGTTCTAAAATAACATTTTGGGTCATGTCCAACTATTACCATAATACAATTGGTGGAGACAGTTAGAGCAATGAAGGCACAAATTGAATTACATAATAATTACAAATAAATTGTATGGACGAAATAACAAATATTAGCCGATTTGTAAGTTTTTAATTAAAACCAATCTTTATTTTGATTTTTCTTTATTAGCGAGCCGTGCTATTCTTCAGATTACAAAGAAAATAATTTCGATTACATAATATTGTGAATAAAAAAAAAATAAAAATAGCTCGCTTTTTTTCTCGCAGCGAAAATTATTCTTCACATTCATTTATAAAACGAAAATATTATGAATAGTCAATAAATTTATAAAATGCTATTGAAAACCTCGAATATCAATAAAATATTTTTAATTCTAGAATTAACGCAAATACCATTTGCATACAGTTTGTCAGCATCAAACGACACTGATTCAAATACCGATAATAATAATAATAATGCGCCAGATTTAATTTACACGGTTCTTATAGTTTCATTGGTTATCATTATCTGTAATTTTATTGGATGTGCATACATTATTTTACGTAAGACAAATTTCTGATTTTCAAAGATTTAAAAAAACATTGATTATTAACAAGAAAAATATTTTGTTTCAGGTACATACCTAAGATGGAGGAAATCTCGTTCAGCAATTCCTATGTCACTTAGATTTCCATATTATATTGCTTTGACAGGTAAATTAGTGAATTGAAGGATTAATTTTAATTCTAATAAATCTAATAAACTCTAATTAAAATTTAATATTAGATATTCTCGTATCATTAGTTTCTTTAATAAATCACGTGAGTGTATATTTATTATTTCTTTTGAATAATAAATAAATAAATAAATAAATAATTTATAAATTAATAATATTATAAAGGGGTATGGTGCAGCCTATAGAGAGCCTCTAGAATCTCCGGCTTGTGAAGTAATTAGTTCATTATTAGTTTTTTCAACAGCTTTAACTATACATTTGGTTGCTGCTATATCAGTCACTACCTGGTTGAGAGTGGTTAGAGAAGTGAATATTGATTTTGGGAAGTACGATTATAAATTATGGGTACCAGTATTTTCAATAGCTATCATTGATATGTCACTTTCAGTTCGTGGTACTCCAAAACAGAAATATTGGTAAAAAATTTTTAAATCTTTATATTAAAAAAAAATTTTTTATTAATAAATTTTTATTTTTAGGTGTGCACCTGATGAAAGCAATGAAATTTTTTCAACGATGATTGTTGTGTCAATATTATCATTATTATCGATTATAATATTTTGTTATCTTTATGTTTTAATTTTAATTAAAAAGGCTGATCATAACAGTAGTATTAGTAATGGTAGCGAAGGTACAACAATAAGCAATAGTTTATTAAAAGATAAACTTGAAAGAAAGGTTTACAAAAAAGTTATGACCTATATTTTAGTGTTTATTTTACAATATACTTCTGCCTTGATTAATAAGATAGCAAACCTTTTGAATGTAAGGGTTTATTTTAAATTTTTTTAAAAAATTTTTTTTTGAAAAATATTAATTAATTTGATTTATAAAATGTATAGCATAAATATGAACTTTTAGCTATAATTGCTCTAGTAGGTAAAAAAAGAAACTCTATATATCTTCTAATTAGTTGAATTATTTTAATTAATTCGATAATTATATACTTTTATCATTTTTTTTTAGGGCTAAATTTAGGCATATTTGGCAATTTCTTTCAATACATAATTAATGAAGGGTTGTCATTAAAAAATTATTCAAATATAAGTCATGAATCTATGTCTTCCCGAGATGATGAAATTGAATTAAATGATAAAATCAATAATGTCTAGAATATAGAATATATAAATATAAAATACAATGTATAAACGTATATACAATATATATATGTTTTAAGGATTTTTTAATTATGAAATTATGTTACATGCTTGTAAGTTATAGATATAACAGATAAATATGTGTAATTTTTAATTTTAACTTTAATTTTTAAAATTTGTATTTTTCCGCAAAATTCGACAGCAACCGCAGCATATTTTAAAATTTCATTGGCTGCCGATCCAAAATTTACGGAAAAATACACCCTCAATATTAATATCATAAAAACTTTGTTATAAAGTAGATATACTACAAACTCGTGATGTATTTCACTAAATTTAGATGAAAATTCTTGTGATATTGTGTATTCTATACGTTATTTTACTTTCTATAAGTATAATACTAGCCTAATACCTAATCATCCAACATATTATTTCGTATATGTAAACTTTTGATCCTGTTTTTATTCATTTAGGAGAAATAAATTTTCCTTCGCAAAGAAATCCTCCGCTTCAAATGTTACTCCTACGGTAAACCGGTTCGAGTTAACAACTCAAATTTAAGTTGTAATTAAGGAATTGGAATTGAAACTCTACATGCCATGAATGAAATTCTGTTGTACATGACAAATAAGCTCAAAGATCAAGAGTTGTTTTTGCGACTTGGTTTTCTTCAGAGGGTTTTAAGTATGATAGTAAGCATATGAGTGCAAAAACTTTAGTCATCCAATAAAATCGAATACAGGTCGGTATGTGGCAAAATGGAGGCCAGTCCCTATATCGGAATCCAAAAATGTAACGTCTGGACGCATATTCATCAAGTATTCAAAAATCGCAACATTTAGGGGCACATATTCTTCCAAAAAATTGCAGGCATATGGTGTTCAAAACTTTATGGCACCAAAAATTGTGGCTAATAAGGCAAACTTTGGATCTCAAACAATTTATGACACCAATTATGAATTAAATATAATTGAGAATGAATGATGTTGTTGTAAAATTACCAAATTAAAAATGACCAATGCGAAAAAATCTTGACTAAAATCAAAATCAATATTCTTTACTCAAGTAAAAAAGTAAAAACTGACAAATCGTCTAATCGAAGTAAAATTACAATTATTTTTTTGCTTTTATTATTCCTAACTTTATTTAGATTGTTTTTAAATTTTGTCATTTTCAATTTCACTCCAGAACAAACATTATCAACTACTCCATTGTTTGCTAAATAATCAATATCACTACCTTTGCTTCCAGGACAAGCATTATCTTCATTTACTAATTCATTTTCTGTTAAATCATCAATAATATTTATTACCACGCAAAATTAGTATGTCAGTCAGTTTAAAGATTCAAAAAGAAAATTTAGTCAGGGCACGAACATCATCGATTTGAGATACTTTACGAGTATCAAAAGGGCCGTTTACTAAAAACAAATTTTTTTGAAGACATGGTGGGGAAAATTTGTAAGGACTCTTGGAACTTTACAATTAAGCGAAGAATTTTTTAAAAAACAACTATTGGTATAACATTGTTAAAAAATGCCTATATTACAAAAGTTAGTATATGACATTAATAAAATATTCGAAAAGGAAATTTTTCAGTTAAAATTTTTTTTGAAAATCCGTGCTCAGTATAAAGAATTAATTACTTTATATTATCAATATAAATTGTGCTTGCTAAAAGGGTTTAAGAAAGTATCTGACTTCATCTTATATTTTGATCTTGAAGTAGCAAAGAAATTAATAGGATAAAAGCTGTGAACAAGATACTGACTGACATTTCAATTATTTTTTATTTTTAGTAAAAAAAACTTCAAAACTCTGTCGAATAGTAGTAATGATTCATACCATCAAGCAAGTTTACTTGAAATATTTTTAAATTATCTATAGATAAAATTGTTCTAGTTGCGTTTAACAATTTAACAAAACATAGAAGTTTAAACATTTGTTTCTATTGATTTGCCCTGAGTTCAAATTCTATGGGGCTTTAACCAAAAGCAAGCTCACTGCAGTAAATCACTTGATTACAATTAAAAAAATATCAATAATTTATTTAATTTGTTAATAAAATAGGGTTTCAATAATTTAATGATGATAAGCGATGAAATTAATATTGAAATATTGGTAGACACGGCAAAAAAAGCATTATTTTATAATTTTAATTAATTAGCTTTGTTTTTTTTAAAATATATTATTATATTTATTAATTGTTATATTTAGATAAAAATTGAGCAATTGTCAAAAAAAGAATATTTATTTACTATTTTCGTCTTCGTCAAGTGTTTAAGATTTTTTACTCTAGTCAAATTGTCAAAATGGTTCTTGATAAGGAACTACCTTTAGTCAATACTATTACTGCTTTGTCATATAGAAGGTTTTTGTCAATATTTTTCGGATACTTAAATAAGAGAATATTTAAATTTTTGCATACTTAGTTGAGAAGAACTAAAAGCCTTTTTATAAAGTTGGGATATCTTTGGGATACCACGAAATGTGACGTATGAGAAAAAGTTGAATAAGTGTATATGAAGAAATCCAATTTCATTCTACTGCCTATAATAAAAACCATGCACTTCTACTCTATCTCCTGAAAGAAAACCAGGTGAAACTAGCTTCTCCATTATTAAAATTATGCACACCATACTCTCTCGAAAACAAGCACGGGAAGGACATAAAGTCATGGCCAAATTCAACAATCCTAAACTGCAAACGAGTCCCATTATATATACTTATTTGGATGGCAGGTGGGTGAACAAGTTTTTTGATTTTCAACGAATGTCAATGCTTGGGGAATTTTCCGAATGATATTTATTATTCTCTCCTTTCCTTTAAATTAAATGACAAGAGGAATTCACAAAAATGCATATTTGCCCTCCGTGAGAATATACTCATCCTGTAGATAATCTCAATATGCCCTTTTATTTCCTATTAGTCCTGCCCTGTCATACTTACAATCAATCACGAAATAGGTTCACGCATGATAAAAAAAAATCTCATTTATTATATCACAATGCTAATTAGCAACCTTTTAATTCTAATGAAAACCTTCGCCATTAAAACATGCAAGTAAATTTGTAAATGATTTAACAAAGTTGTTGAATGAACCAGACTTTTATGACGTAGAAGTTAAAGTTGGAGTGGTCCGGGATGATGTTGGAATCTTTAATATAAAGCTCATTCAAACATTTTAAAGGCTGCACCTTCATACTTTAAAAGCAGCTCTATCAAATAGTCGTAATAAAAATCCCGAGCATTGTGACATGCGATGAATTTGATTTTATTGATTGATAGTTTATAATCTTTGAAAATTCGACAGCGTCTCACGTTTCTTTTTAAAATCCGATAATTTGAAAGATTTGAAAAACAAATGCTTATATCAAGGTATTATTATTTAAGTTTAGAAGAAGCTGGTACTTGGAATTGTGTTATTAAATGGGAATCAGACAAATTGAAAATTTGGAAGAAGAAACAATGGAATAAAGATAATTTTAAGAGTTAAAGAATATACTAAATAAAAATTAGAATAATTATAACGACATTAATATAGTAAATGGTATATATATATATTAGATTTGATGTTTTTGAATAATTGATAAAATGTTAAAAGATAAAGATTTTTCTCTTTAATTCCAAATGCACTCTCTTTAAATGAATGTTCACTCAATAAAAATAACTTTATCCGTGCGTTGTTCATTTTTCGCCTTGATCACGTATCTTAATTACGTTGTGTTTGTGATCATTTCATTGACATTTGTTATATTAAGGTTATTTTGATTATATTGAGAGATATGGTCAAGAGAAGAGTTAGGAAGAGAGTTATTCTTCAACCAAGTCGAAAACCAACTCTTTAAATATATTTTCGAGTAGTACAATTTAATTTATTAGACTATTTTAAAGGTTTGTCATATGGTTGCTTCCAACTTCTTAAATTCAAACTATTTGTTATTTGTTAACGAAATTGTTGGTGAAGTGATTGTTGACAAAATGAATCAAATCAACATTTATTTTTACATTATCAAATTCATGATTTTAAAATTTTGTGCTGCCAGAATGGTCTGATGTAAATAAACATATATATAAAAATATACATAATAATAAAATATAATGAAAAAAAATGATTTTTTTTGAACCTCTAATTTTAGTAAAAATAAATTGTTGACACATATAATTAGGCTTACTCAAAATGAAATTATTTTTGAATGTCATCCAGATGTCTGGAATTTGAGTTCAAACTCAAATGAACATTAACATAAAGTGTAACGTCAACCAATTCATTTATATTTTCATCATCAATTTCAGTATCAATTCCATGACTTTGTCTACCAAACAAATTTTCCTAGACTATAAATATATATATTAAGTTTAATAATAAGCGGGATTAATTAATTTTCGTAATAATATATGGGCCATACTGCAACAAAACCAGACAAAGTGAACATTGGTATTACCAAGAATTTCAGGGATCAAAATTTAGTAATGTGATTATTAAAATCTTCCATTTGTTATCCTCTTGATATATAGAATTACCTCTATATAAAAATAGTTAATATGAAGCTAATTTACATCAGATCTACTATGGAACCAAAGAATTATAGCACCATTAGAAGTATTTTGAAGAAGGAACAAGGTGAAAAAATTGCTCCTTATATTTTTAAATTAGCAGATACTAAATCCTTGCAAACATATTTAGATAAAGAAAGGATTACCTATGAAATTTACCAAGAAGAAAGAAAAATAATAAACACTAAGAAAAGAACATTAACACAGAACCACAAAAAACCTAGAAAGAAAAGAAAATCAGTAGAGAAATAATTTGCTGTATAATATAATGAATATTATCTTTTAAAAATTAAAGATATTAAAAAAAGATTTGTTAAAAAAGAATTAGTATGAGTTGGTTTGACTTGCTTAGGTTTTACTTCAATTGTTTGTTCTTGTTTCTTTTTTAAGTGAATTTTCTCACTTATCTTTTTTGTAAACTGTAGTAGTTTGCTCTTTTTCCTTGGTAATGCTGGCAAAGATTTGTTGGCTAAATGTAGTTCTTGTTTTAGTTGCTGGATTGCTTGGGCTTGCCAACTTATCTCCTGATTCTTAACTGCTTCTAATTGCTCTAATTTCTCAGCTAATTGTCTTTCTCTTCATTCTTTGGCTACTTCTAAGGCTTCAAAGTGAGTTTCAGCATCTAATCTTGCCTCTTTAGTTTTTTTGCTTTCAATTTTCAATAATTTCAATAGTTTTAATTATTTTGCTATTTCTCACTTCATTTCTTAATTGCTCAATGAATTCTTCTTTTCAATTATCTTTATCTATTTTTATTTCTTCATCAGTTGGCTCATAATATTTTGAAACTACTTCAGTAATGTTATTTTCAAAGTTTTTATAATCCTTTTCAATTCTTTCTTTTTCCTTAGTTAATTTATACTTTTCTAATTCTAAATTTTCTTTTTGTAATCCCAATCTTGTAATTATTAAAGTATCAATAATACCATCTTTATATTCATCTGTTACTAGACATTTATTCTTAATCAACTCCACTAACATTTCTTCTAGTTCTTCAGCTTTCTTTTTTAATTGTATTAATTCTTGATTATTTTCAGGTGCTGGAATTCCTTTTACTACCATAATATATTATTTTAATAAAATTTTATATTGGTTTTGGACAAGTAATGTTTTTAAATTCATCCCTTACAAATGGGCAAATATTATTATAAAGGTATTCTTGCCTTTTATAATCCAAAGGAGGTGGTGTTAACACTAAAATAGATAAAGATTTAATTTCTTCAAAAATATCTGCTTTCTTGGTTTTCAATAAATTGAACTCAACAAAAGGTCCATTAGCAATTTCTTGAACTTTCACTGTACCAAAATTAGATGCTTCAAAAAGAAAATGTTGATACTTTTGTAAACCATTTAGTTTCT